CTCGGGAAAGACGGTACATCAGGCAGGCGAAGAAGATGATTCCTTGCATGAGTCCGACAGCGGTGCCCATGCTGGTCCATTATTCAGCTTTAGCTGACCTTCAGACGGTCGCCGGTCGGGCAGCATGGTGGGCTTTCAGTACCTACAGGTACGATCAGGGTCATCCTGATGGCGAGACGCATCGTAAAACTCCATATCTTTGCTTCAGGGTCACCAAGAGCAAGAATTATACAGCCAGAATACTCAAGTTATCTCGACACCCACCGGAACCCGGTTTCGAGTGATACTTCGGACAGGGTTAGGAAGATAGCAAGAAATTATCACTATTCTCGCCGAGGTGCGTTCCCACTGTCGATGATTTTCGGTCATTGCTTACTGCCCATTAATCATTTAGGATCATTTCAGCGCTATTCAGTCCAGGAATAGGCTATGCGTTTGCGAAAATATGAATATTTCTAGTACAGCTTTTCGGTCCACCTCTTCAGTTGCGTATGTCCGGTTCAGAAAACTTGCGCGATACTCAGCCGTATGATGGAGAGTCGCAGAAAGATTCAGAAGGTGGGTCAGCACTCTTTCTATCTAGCATGTGCGCCTCAATCTATGTTCGTTTAGCACGTACACTGATATTCTGCTGTAACGAACAACATATAGCAACTTCAAGCGTTCACGTGCCCGTTAAGACTTACCGTGCCGATGTTACTCTGGTATGGCTTTAGTCTGCACCTACATCACCAATTGTCCATGCTCAGTCAGAACTATGCAGCCTATACTGAAGTTTCCATTGAGGAGTATTGGTTCGAAGATGTCATATCTCCAAGATACTGTGCACTCAATTTTTAGCAACAAGGGCTACATGCAATTTGAGCTCGCGGTCCGGTATTTTTAGCTACCAGTCCGTCCCCAGTAGGGCCTCTTGACGAGTTGGGTTTTTAAATGTATGTAATGTCTCCGTCTATCGGCTAGTATGCGACTAAAAATCTGGTGCTCAGCATGACGATTTTAAAATCGCATTTTTTAGCATGTGTCTCAGAGATTGGCAAATGATGTTGTAGGCCTGTCCAATCCAAAGTACGGCAATTCAAACCGTTATATAGACGCAACATGTTTCCTCCTTAGTTCAAGCACCATTGATTCAATTGATGCAGACGGACGGATTCACCGATGGCGAAAATGAAATTCAGTGTGTCTTCAGTCACCTTTTCTTTCGCCATGGAGCACATACAGATAGAATTCTAGTTTACCAGTCGTCAATAGGTGCCGAATTTAATGCTGCTGCTTAATTGCGCATCCGCGCATCCCGAGGAGTAGGAGTGACGTCATCTGCTTTTCCTCTGGGTGGCCTTCCAATGAGCGTGATCCAGTCCATCTGCCCTAGCTTTGTTCGGCCGATCTAAAACTGTAGATATCATAACCAGGACACTTTTGGACAACGTAGCTGCTTTCTAAGATATCCTCGTAATGTCTAATACGGAGCACCAGTAATGCGCCCGACATTCCAGTGTAACAGCGAGAACGAACACTCGCAATTTCTCCGCACCTCAATCACCAAAGACAAATGCTTGCATGAAGATTAATTATTGTCTTATTCTACTGCAAGTCTACACACAAAGTCCTTTAAGACGCAATGGAATGATCCTAGTATTCACAGATATCGTTGTTATCCTAAATTTAAAAATATCGAGCAGTGAATACCTCTTTTCGGATCTATTGTACTTGCTTCCGCGGAGGCTTATTGGCTGCAGCGATGTGTGCCACCTGCGTTCCCTCTAGAATTTGGATGGTGATGGCCCATTCGACATCTCCATCGCTGGAGGCGGCAGACGATGGGAGACTCCCATATGCTGGTTCATGTTGTCTTTCCTGCTGAAAGTGCTCGTGCAGCCTTCGTGTGGACATTCAAAAGCTAAGGAACTGTGAGCACTGGAACCAAAGAGTGAAAAGGTCGAGCTCACGTCTGCATTCCAAATGCACACAGTCGATATGTCTCGTCAGATGCCCGCCTCGACCGAAGGCCTTGTCACATCCTTCATACGTACAAACATATAGCCTCTTGGGACTGCCCTCTATTTTCACTCCATGCGAAGTGGATGGAAGCACCTTGTGAGACGTTGCTACAGTCTGACCACCTTCACGAAACTCTGGGGCAACAGCGACTTTCCTTCCGCGAATTTTCTTACCGCCATTGGCAACGACCGTCGGCTCGTCTCCACTGTCGCCTTTCTCGCGAAAGTGCTTCGTCGATCTGGTCGATCGAGTTCTCCTTTTAGGCGTCGGGGTCGAAGGTCCTGGACTAGGGCAGTAGACCGAACCAGAATCCGATTCATGGTCTTCAGATCGCGACCGTGGTGCATCGCTGGAAGACCCCGTGTACAAGTTAGAGGCGGAGGACACCTGCAAGTCAGACCGTAGCCTTTTACGCTTCTTGCTAGATAGCGAGAAGTCCTGATGAGCGGGCTGTGCTTTCGCCTCAGTAGAAAGCGATGCGTCCGGAAGATGCTCCGTAAGTGATGAAAAGAGTGCTGAGGACGATGAAGGCCATACGGGATCCGATACGTTGACATACATAGGCAGTGTTGAGGGTCGCTGTAGTGAGGTGGATGGTGTCGTGCCAGAATCTAAGGGAAGTTCCGAGAGAAATGGTGAAATGTCGCCATAACTGAAGCGCGAGTCCGTCGTTAACAGGCTGTGAAGGCCATATCCGTTGGAGAGGTGTTCTTCGCAAAGCGTCTGTGGGAAAAAATCTGGATCCCGCTCGGGATCAAAGTGGAGCTGGTAGTGGTATTTAGCCATCCGCTCGTAGGAAAACGAAGCAGGTGCAGATTGGGTTGGATTATCTGTCTCATCAGGCGGCCCCGAGGGTGGGACCCCCTTGATCTGCTCCAAGTTGTCGTACAGGTAGTCGTCCATCTGATTTATAGCGGTGGTGGTGGTCGCTGGTGAACAGGAAATGCAAAATCCGCTCTTTTTAAAAGAAACTCCACGATCATGTCTGAATTTTGATCAAGAACATCTCCGGGTTGCCTCAGCCTCTGTGATTTCTTAGACGAAGCAGAGTCCGTGCGGAAGAGATTGTAAGATTCCATCAGAAACCGCAGATGATACATCTTACCTCTATCATGCTCCTCGACATGTTTATTTTCTGATATGCCCTAAAGAATGGTCATCCACTCTTCGAGCACCACGATGTCGTTTTTACCGACGAGTGAAATGTCAGCGTTGCATACGTGGGGTTTACCTGCTGCCCTTCGTACATTGCTCTGCTGGACTAATAGTATGTTCCAGGTGCGCCACAAGAAGCACAGAGTGACGTCCTCACACAAGAAGTGCAGCCGGAGGCGGAGCATGTATCTGGATCATCTGTTGTCTATCATATCGAGACCCTTATCGAACTACTGCAGAAAAGGCGAGACCATCTACGTCGTAAGAAGCATATCAGGCAAGGAGGTAAAGGCGCCAAGGTGACGCACACTTCTGCCTTCGGTACAGGAGTTTAGGACGTGTGTCGCTGAAACATTATATTTGAACGATTAATCACCCAATTTTACGCATATATGCAGGCGAAAATTTTGTTTAGGATGCGAGACACAACGGAACCTAGCGCTATGGACGTGACGTCAAAACTGAGAGTGAGGCTGCAACAAAGATATATTTACAAGAGTCCAACAAATCAAGGAATGAGAAGTACAATTGTCTGAGTGTCTCTGCGTGACCAGTTAGCAGAGGCAGACACAAGAAATATAAAAACGAACATCGCGAGGGATCATTTTGGCGGTCCCTGTATTCTCTGCAAGGTCTTCAAGGTCTCGTTCGCTTTTGTCTGACAAAAGGTGAGTACGATAACATGGCCATCTGAGGCGCGGCGCTGCACAGACATACCGGGACACGCAGCGTTCTGGCGACAAGGGTCTAGCCCTGAATTTCAAAATACAAAGCATTGAATACCTTTTTGGCATCCGGTTTTGGATTTGTCTCCGCGGGTGGTTCCTAGGACAACGAAATGAATACACGGAACAAGACATAATGAAACGGGTATGATTGAGGATGCAGTGTCTCAGTTGCCTAAATTGGAGTTTACGATATCGCCTTTGAAGGAATCTAACTCACCAAAGTCATTACACTTCCCCGTACCTCTGCGATATGGCGACCAAATCCGGAGGATGGCCGCCAATGCGCAGTCCACAGAAATCACTGCCCCACCTGCAACATCACATTCACAGTTTTGATTTTTGTTCAGGTGGCTGGAATGGTCTGAGACAATCTCAAAATAGGGAGGCTAACTGTTGTGTTTAGGATAGGTACTGCCGTGCATTATTGAATGATAGAATCAATTGGTTGGAATTGCAAGGACTCATAATGTGGTCAATGTACCCCATTAAACGCCGTCCGAACGACGCAGGTGATATCACCAGTCAAGGAGACGTAAATTACTGTCTGGCAACACTTCGGCATGCCCGGAGCTCATTGTGTTCCTGAACGACTTGGGTCATGATATCGTGCAAAACTACCCGCAATTCAGCAATGGTACGGTGCAACCAGAAGAAACAATGTACCTGTCAGTGTAAGACATGTTAAATGCCGGTTGAACTCCAACGTTCGGTGGATTGTTGGAGTGGGAAGAGTGGCCTGATAATTGAGGCGCTTGGCTTGTGTGGTGGTCTTTAAGCCACGGGTGATCCATGAGTGCGAGTAACCAAGTAAGGAAAAACATACAATGCACGATTTTTCTTTTTCACGACGATAAGCTCGCGACTGTATTCAGCCATCCACTTCCGCATCTTGCCTGCATGCTAGGCCTGTTTAAGCGATGGATCCAAGTTCAAGCAGGGCATACCTGTCCCAGAATTTTCCGAGTCCTTTTCTTCTCAGTCATCACCTGATTGCGTCGATGTCAGTGGATGGATAACAAATGCCATGGAAGAGTTGGCACCTCATGGAGTGTGTCCTCGTTCCTCAACGATCAGAGGTGCTCATACCAGGCGAGCTCTTTCTTTGCCTGCTTCACCAAATAGAGCTTCTTCTCTGGGAATGCGTCACAGTATAGTAGTAGAAGAATGGGCTCGTCCTTAGGTGGGGATTGCTCTTGCAGGTCGTAGCAAAAGAAATATCTTTGCTGATCGCTGAAAGCCAAGATGGCGAGTAAGAGAAGGGACAATTATGCATGGAGGACGTGTGACGTAAAATGATTCAAGCAGCCCGCCTAGATCAGCACTCAGCATTGGTCAACGAATGCGAATGCAGCTCACGTTTGTGCGATTGGAAAATGCATTTTCTATGGAACGACCACAGCTCTGTGGGCAGTGAGATGGGGCATTTACTTGCAAAACATTTATTGCATCCAGAGTTGAAGAAATAGTTGATAAAGGCGGTTTCGCTGAATTTGCTGCTCGGGACAGATGGTACGTCAGGCAGGCGAAGAAGATTATTCCTTGCATGAGTCCGACAGCGGTGCCCATGCTGGTCCAATATCGCGTTGATGTTCCTGCATACACTTCAAACAATGACCAGATCCAGCGGTGCACACCAAGCGAATATCTGCGAGCGTTTAGACGCGACTTTGGACGAAAACAGACCACAAATTCATATCTCCAGGATCAATTCGACAGATAGCTGCTGGATGGGGAAGTGGCTGGGTACGAGTTTCCATGCATGTCGATGGAGGACTGGCATTGTGTGAGGTAGGTGGTGGTAGTACAAGAACAAGCGCAAAATACCTGCCTGTCGTTGTGTTGGTCGATGTCAAGAGCTAATTTTGTGCGGAGTTCCAATGTCCTCTTGCTCTGCCTTTCATGCACATGCACCACGGCGGCGTTACGTTCTGCAGGCGGTATTGCCTGGACTAACTGGCGACCTGGATAACGATGTTAAAACTTGAAGCTTTCCTCGCATTCTCGATATTACTACCTGCAGCGCGCGGCATCTACAGCGTTTATAACGGATGTTTTCCGTAATCGGCTCTACGTTCTATCTGTCGTTGGCACGGTCCGTTTCTTCCGAGATCACGTGTTGCATTGCCGTAGTTTCCCGCCTGTCCGTAGCTACAACTGAGACTATCACCAGCCATTCCCGATTCCTTCTCTTGGACCTAGCGATACGGTTCCATCATCTTACGCTGGCATATCTATGATAGCAATAATAACATCTCCATATCTAGTGTTGCCCTCTGCATTCGTAAATGCCGGATCTGCACATGGTCCAACTATGATTCAGGCCAAAAACGAATAGAAAGTGGCCCCTACTGGCACGGATGAACACATTTTACCGAAGCCGATGCGACACCTCCGTATTCCCAGTTGGCCCTGAGATACGGCAACTCTAAAGGATGGCCATCAAGTGGATGCAGGTCTTTGTCTCTGACCAGCATCCAGGAGTCTGGGTTTTGATTTTCGTACAGCTGGCTGGGATGATCTGTGACATTCAAAATCGGTACAGCTGCAGCGATACACCGATGTTTGGCCCGGGTGGGCAGATCTCCTTGAATGCTAATAGTATTCATAACAGACATGCACATAGGGTTTACTATTACTGGCAGTTTCAAAAGTCAGAGTTGTCACGGTCAGATGACCAGAACACATGTTTGCCCTTCAAGTTCCTGCCCACATTGGCCCGGTAGTCATCGATAACTGCCAATGATCAAACTGTGGTCTTTGTCTCAGACAACCATTTTCCATTGGAGTGAGATGGCTGGCCACATAATCACAGCAGACAACATGCACGCCATTCCTCTCATTTCTTCTGACTTTGTTTACCATCCCAGGTAAGCGTTCGCATAGCAAATGTTGTCAATCCGAAAGCAGATGGTACTTTGGATCCAAGGTAGACCGGTTTAACAGCATAGGATGGGTACTCTCATGCCCAAGCAGTTTTCAACAGGCGAGCCGCTTGTGATACACAAATTTCAGTCTATTTAGTCGTTACCTTAGGCTATTCCATTCGTGCGTCTTTCGATATTATATATGGAATAGTAGCAGCCAGCACCAAATTGAACGGAATTAAATGTAACACTTCCGTGTGAGTTTGCAGTCAGTATCTTCGCCAGCGCCATCGAATGATGTCGCGTCTGTTCAGTTTTTGCTGCCGCGGACGTTTGGACCTATAGAGACCCATAAATATATACAATCGTCATGACGATAAGGGGCAAAGACAATAATATATCAGATCATTCGTCAGCAATGATGGCGCCACGTCCGTGCCAGAGACAACATCAACGATCGAAATGCTTTTACTATTCATAAACCTACTATCTGTCCTGCCCAGCAAGAAGTAGGTGCTCTTTCATGTTCAAACAGTTGAGAGATCCCGATGTTATTGGGGCATTGAGGAGCAAAACTGGATAGACATGTGTACATATGGAAAGACCTATTTGGGCGTCGGACATGAGGCTGAAGAGCAAGTACAAGGATGAACGGACCATATGGTTACAGCCCTATCCGGATGATAGATTAACGAGCTAGAGGACACCAGAGAGATGCACTTCCAGAAGTAAAAAAGACCCATGCATTGCAGAGATTTGGCTTTCCACTGTCTCTCCCCTGGGCGATGCCTTATGGAATATTAATAGTTTTTATGAAGCACTGCGGGCTAGATTGATGGAGATGCCAGGAGGAGATCTTTCACTCTTTGTGGTTTGCTGTTTCCACTCGCAATGTCCTTCACAGCCCTACATGATCTTGACAAGGCTCCTCAAGCTCTCAGCACTCGGTATCAATACTTTGGTAAGAGATTTTGGTCCCTACACGTATGCTCGAATCATGTTATTAGCATATCCTTCTGATGGACCCAATGTCGGCGCCCCTTCACTCCAAACAAAATTAGACAATACTGTTCTCTCCTGCATCCTACACGCACAAACTTCAGCCCGACCCCCTGGCCCAGTTCAATGAAATGCTCCAAAGTGCACTCCTGACTGTTGTAAGTGAACGTCATGTCCAGATCCGTGCTGTACCGGGTCATGCGCCCTGCACCATAGTGTGGAAACAGAGGCTCCGGTGCCAGCCTAAGACCTAATGCTGATTCAGAGGTGTTCCTGTCTCTATTCACATGCTGAATAATATAATCGTCTGCGACCATAGTCAGCAATGGATGACATGGCAGAGAAGCACCGTACTGATTAACAAATGACTATTCGACGACATGGCGTTCACCAAACTCGTTAGAATCGTTTTGCATTCCTCGTCCGTCCAGTTATGTCTAGAAGAAATGGTGAGTACCCGGCCCAGACCTCATGAGGATGCGACTGACAAATATTTTTCAGCTTTGAATCATTATGTCAAAGGGAGAAACAATCAGCATGGTATGGCGTACTTACGAAGTATACATCACAGTCTTTGACTGGTGATTCCGAAAAGAAATCCATAGCTTTGAAGTCCAGGTGCCCTTCGCCAATAGCTACTGGGCATACCTTTGGCAAAACTTCGGTCTTGGCCATTTCGATCTGTGCAGGTACATCTTGCAGCATGATGCGAAGGTTGGGAGTATGTAGTAAGTGCGTGATACATACCCATCCATGACGTGAACTTACGGCACTCACATCTGTAGAGAGGTGCTCTCCATATAGTTAACGAAACGAAGAGATAACGCAGTCATTCAAATATTCATGGCCGACGTACTGAACACTCATCGAGAATACTCAACTCAAGCCTTCGTCAGATACACTTCGGCGACCTCCGAGACCTTGGGATCAATGTTACCAAAGATCTCGAGCATCTCCTCCTAAGCACATAGATCAGAAACACCACCGTACAACTCGACGATAAAGAACCACGTACCCAGATCTTTTCCTGGACGATCATTCCATCCTCACTGATCGCAAAGTCGCTCTCTTCCGTGACCTTGGACAACTGTATGTACTTGCCACGGAGCGTCTCTTCGTCATCCAAGGACCCAATGGCAGCATACACCAGCTGCCGACTCCCTTCTTCCGTGGTGAATGCAAGTTCCTCTCGCTCGTTTCGCAAGGCTTCCGCCACCTCAGAGTCAGTAGGGATACCAGACAGGAGTCCTGAGAAGCAGAGTCCTGGGTTAACAGCGCAGACGGTGATCGCCGGGGAAGATGGGACATGGAGTTGCAGAGCTCGAGCAAAGAGAATGTTGAGCACTGTCTTAGCGTGTCAGATAAGTTCATGTAGAGAGCCAAGTTACAAACGCTTGGTATCGTGATACCGGTGATGCATCACCCTGTTCACAGGTCAGTGACAGAGATACGATGCAGCGAGGGATCAAGACGTACTCTTGCGTGCAATACTCCTTGCTTGACAGTGTCGCGAGGATGTTAGGAGAAGCGATGATTTCCTTTTCTATCTCTGTCCAATAATGCGTGTCGCTCGAGACGACCGCCACTCGTGGGTTGACCAAATACTTGCGAGCCGTCTCAACCATCTTGGGGACCATACGAATAGCAAGTAATCCGGGACCGAGGTTGTTCGTATGCAAACTAAAACGGTGATCAGCCTTTGTCCTCCGGAAGAAGACAGTACATACGTTTTCTCCCAACCCTCTACTTGCTCGTACTCATAAGTCATCATACCAGCATTTTCTATGAGGATATCCAATCGGTCCAGTTCACGCTCTGCTCTATCAGCGAACGAGATGACACTGTTGAAATTGGCGAGATCGATAATCCACAACTCTGCCTTGGTATAACCAGTGGCGCTCTGAATCTCTGTAATGACCAGAATGAGTCGAGTTTGTAAAATTGATAATTGGATGCACCTACGGGCCAGCGCTTTCTCGCCTTTTGCTTCATCTCTTGCCGTCAGCACCAGTCGCGCAGGATTCATCCTGGCGAAATGCTTAGCAGCCTCGAACCCGAGACCAGCGTTGGCACCGACAAGGATAAGTGTCTTCCCGCTCAAGTCAGCGGTGACGATGGCGGGGGCGGGTCCAGTCTGGTCTGCAGCTAATTGCTCTGGAGTTCTGCGCATTGTGAGAGTCTATAGTGAACTGTCATTCGTACTTGCTAGCTTTTATATGCGGTTGAATGGACTGGGTATCCAAAAGCGGCTGTGCACGCCGCAATGCGAAAATTAAGTCTGAAAATCATTACTGTAAGATGTTTCACTAAACATAGAATTTCAATCGCACAGCATCCCATAGATGGAAACAGTACATACATTCAGAACCATCCCCGTCCATGGATTGGATATTTACACAGAAAAGGAGGCCCAAGTGAGGACTGGTAGCTAGATATCCTCCGAGATAAGCTAAGACAGCGGACAGAGAGGCCTTAGGCTTCCTACCTACATACGTACAAATATGACCACCTTGAACCCTGATCCACTTGTGACTTACCTTCTCTCCATTCGACGCGTCGTTGAGGTCGTTCAGCCTCTCGTTCACTGATACACCGCTCTCTCGCCTCGTCCATCTTCCTTTGACCCACCCACCCACTCCCTTTAGTGTTTGGTGTTGCCGGATTCGGTCCTTAAGTCCAAGTCTCAGACACGCCAACTGGATACAGCAGTATACGGTCACATATATCCCTCACAAGCGACACTTAGCTTATCGGAATGCCAGCTAAAATTATTTGTTACTAAAAAATTCATTGCAGAGTATTTTGGAGATATGACGTCTTCGCGGAGCGGCAAAGCCGAGTGAATACTCTTCCATGGAAGCTTCAATTGATAAGCGGGATTGGTGATGTGGGTCGTATATGGTGGGTCTGATGCAGCGTTAACAGTCGTGTATAGATACCACTCGAATGATAGCTATATTAGTGAGATTCGTCCCGGTGGGTCTTACGGCAACATAGGTATGCACGTAAACACCTCAAAGGTCATTCATCTTGCTACGTGCTGTTCTCGTGCGATCCGTTCCTCGCGGCGATGTTAGGAATATGGCCCAAAAGTACAAATTTCCAAGGTGGGTCAGATTCGCGTTGGACCGGTAAAATATCCGCAGCAGACGTTGCAGTGCGCGTTAAACGAACACGATTGAGGTACGCGAACAAGATGGAAATGGTGCTGACCCACCTTCTGATTCTGCTGCGAGTCTCATCATGCCGCTGAGTATCATGCAAGCTGAACTAGATGTACGCGCGTTAATGATGCGACTGAAAGGAAGGATCGAAGAGTTGTACTAGAAATATTTACATTTTTGCCTTCTCGCGGCTTATTCCTACATAGAGCAACGTTGAACTGATCTCGAATGAGTAATAGCTAGTAAGCGATGACCGAAATCGTTGGCAGTGGAACATGCTTCGCTAACAGTAGTAATAACCCTTGCTATCTGCCTGTCTGACCCACGCTTGAAAGCGGATCCTGGTGGGTCAGGGCTTCACGGCTCCAGCACCTAAGCCCCATCCTGTTGAGATAACTTGGAATATTGGCTGTATAATGTTTGAATCTTAGTAGCCCTGAAGAATAAATAAGAACCTTTATCGTCATCAAGGTCACCTTTACGTTTTATCTCCTACCCATAAATATTTGAAAGCTTACCCAATTGCCCAACAGTCTGAATCTCAACCGGCCCAGCCGCACCCGAGGCATGGGAAAGGAGCATTCTTCACAGTTGCCTTTGTACGCAGCAGATATATAAGGCCTTCCGATGTCTTGATATAACAGGCATCTCAAACTAGCGGAAGCCTAATGTCAGTGCACTGAATATCGACAATGCTAATAGAACGACGCACGAGCGTATCCATTTAGGTGGGGACTTGATCGACAGGTGGGCCAAACGTGAGGATTCCGTCATCAGCTTTGTTTCCCTTTTAATCCATCACCAACACCGCCGTGGCTGATGCCATTTAACCCCATAAAACGAGACTTTAAATGATTTCGCTTTAAGGGCCCAATTTCTGAGGCTAAAAACGGGCCCGGAAAGTTTGGGGGTAATATGTGACATTTGGAGAGAGAATTTAAGGAGCTGAAAATGTTCAGTTTTTGATTACTTTTAAAGGCAAAGGATCATGGGGGGAAATATATCCTTTGTTCAAGGCATTTTACCAACCATGTTTTCCCATCCTCGAAGGTTATCATTTTAGGATACTATTTGTTCAAATTAAGAAGTATTGATTTTTGAGCATGAAAAAGGCACTGAAAATGATGCATTTCTCATTGACATTCTCATGGACAAAAACAGATCATTCCTTTTGAAAGAAAAAACAAAAAACAAGAGGTTTAACATTCTATTTTCTCTATGGTAAAACACATCACATGCTCAGTGCATGCCAAGCCTCTTGCCTAATGGTTGCCAACTTGCATGCTCAATGCTACTGCTTATAGCTCAGTAATGGAAACATGAATGGAATTGTATTGAATACAGCAGAGACTAGAAATATGAGAGTGCTATCTGACTAGTGAAAGACTTACATCTCCATGTAGATAGAAATATATGTTAAGTCCAAGTTATACATGACCTATAACACATGGTAAACAGATGCTGTATCATGTTTGTACAGTCACATCTGAGTCCACTATCATGCTGTGTAGGCAGAGTGCTACAAGACCAAAGATGAGTCAGCTCAAGTGTGAATGATATAGAATAAACTTTAGCTTGAAGCTGAGTATGTACAGTGAGAGCTATGCTACTTATATACTGTTGATTGTCCTGATGAATATAAACCTACTAATTATGTGTTTCTATGCTACAGTGTCCTTTGTCTCTGTTCATTGTTACTGTCACAGAAGGAGTGTTGTTTATTAGTGAAGGGTTTGGGTACTTGTGAAGACAATCAGCTTAGTCCTTTTATTATAATTATATAAGCAGGTCCCATAGTCTTGAGCACTTGGTTAGGCACTCTGACTAAGTTTGAAATAGGGGTTAAGAAGATAAAAGAGGATAAAAATCATAATATTACTCTCTCTTAAGACCATTGTCCCAATGGATCATTCTAGAGAGAGTTCATAGTTCTGAATAGCATCAGCAGCATTCATATGTCATTCATTTACCCATTGGTTAGATTCTGGTCTGTAGCCTTTCCAACTGACCAGATAATTGACCATAGTATGGATTCTGCTGCCACATGCTTGGACTTTGTGAAGCTTGTAGTTTAAGACTTAGTTGACTTTGTAATGTTCTTCATCATTGACAAGAATGGGTTTGGGCAGTGGAGGATGTTCCTGATTAGGGAACACTGAGGCAACATAGAGGTTAAGAAGGACTTCATTAAAGACATCATGAATATGCTAGATGTGAGGAAGTCAGAGGCAATATGTGAAAGAGCCAACCTTGGCAATCACCAGAAAGAGGCTGGTTTGTTTGTTAGTCAACTTTTATTTAGGCTGAGGAAAATAGAGGTTGGTTATGTCTAGTCATACTTTATCACTAGGAGAGTATTTGTGGGTCAGCTGACAGTGTTTATCATATTGGTGTTTCATAGTGGAAGCAGCCTTTTCAAGAGTGACATGGGTTTCAGCATGGATTTTTGTTATGAGAGGAGTAAATTTAGAGAATGCTGGTGTTGTAGTTCAGAGGTGATCAGTCTGGGCAATAGAAGAGTGTTGACTATGGATGACAAAGAATGATATCATTCTCATGGTGGAGTGGATACAGTTATTGTGCTAGAAAGCTGCTTGGGTGAGCCATTTGGTCCAGTCATTCTATCAATAATTAATGAACATACAGAGATATTTTTTCACCTCCTGATTGACCTGCTGACATGCCTGCTGCATGTCCAGGCATGTAATTTTGTGAATTGTGACAATACATGGATGATATCACAGTCTTCTATGCATACAATAAAGAATATAGCTATAGTGCAGTGAAATGGGACTGATATGACAGCTGGCTTGAGTGATGATAGGTGGAGAGCATGGCTTAGCAGCAGGATGATACCAGGAGGGGTCATACTGTGCATGAGGTCTCAGCATTTGACACTAATTGTGCTAATACAAGTACAGAAAGACCCACTAAAAATAAAAGAGCACACAATCAAAATATGATCAGGACTTTGCACTTGACTTTGCATCACATTGATCAATAATGCATAGGTCTTAAATTGCTGAGGGACATGTTCTAGAACAGAGCATTGTTGCACAATGAGATAAGCCTGAATATTGGAGAGATTGTCCAAGAAATGAGAAGATTTGATGAAAGAAATGATCAGGAATGATCCCAGAAGTCTAGAATGACTCTGATGCATGGATTAATTGCCCTAGGGAGATAAGAAAGCAAAGAGGCCAGTGGCCAGGCCACTGACAGAGATAACTGGTGTCAGGTTGCATAGAAACAAAAGGCAGTCCTGATCTGGAGCAGAATATGCATGTCAGACTGTGACATGCATGTGAATGATATGTCAGAGACTCTAGAACAGAGTCCTATACTTTGAAACTACTAAATTTGATGTGTCTTAGTAAGTACAGTAGTAGACTATTTAAGTACCACATTGTAAGAGTAGTAAAAAAGTTTCCAACCCCCCACAGTTGCAGTGTATTGGGCACAGAAAGCCTTGCACTGTAGTTCTGAGTTTGTGTTTATTACTTCAGGCAAGAGAATAGACCCATTATTGATATCATAGAGAGAGATTTGAGAACTGCATGAAGCACAGAAGCTCATGAGAGACTTGAATTTGATTTGATAAGAGGTTTTGAATTGTGCTCTGGCCTGAGAATAAGAGAGCAGTGTCTGAAGAGCACTATTTTGAGTTTTTAAGGTGTTTGTGATATGCAGTGCTACAGGTGGCAGAGGTTCAAACCCTTTGGCCTGTGAATGGGGTTAATTGTGATATTTCTACAGATTGGCAGAGGTTCAAACCTTTTGGGTCTGTTGGATGGTGTTTTATTGTGTTTTGTGTCTCTGGATTGCATGGGTTTGAATCCTGTGGGTTTACAACCAGTTTGGGAACTCATATGCAGGTTTGAACCCTTTGGTACTTGTGGACATGTTTGTGATTGGTTTCTGCTTAGAGCATGAGGCTTTGAGTTGTGTAATATGTGCTTAGAGATTTGGAGATTGATCTGAGCTGTGCTTGAAACTATTTTGAGAGTTTTGTGGGAGTGTTTTAACATATTGTATTGAGTTGCAGTAATCTTTGTCTTGAGGCCTGACAACTTCTGTTGCCACCTCTTGTTTTGATAAAATAAAAAGCTTTGAGACTTAAAGAGATCTGAGACAGTGGTACACATGTAATTACTATTTCTATGCAGTGGAATCATTTGAGGAGACAATTGTGCTTCCTATAGCTACTCTATCACATTATAATGTCTCCAACAAACTAAGAAGTGTTATGTGTGTGTTGGTATAGTTGTGATCAGTGGATAGCACT